CTGGATATTAATTCAGCTCGGTCCAAATAATATCAACCTGCCAGTTTGTTTTTATTCTTCTTATAGTTCACTCTGCGTTGTGTTTAATGACGACCAGAAGACGAGTGTTGAACTGAATGCTGGTTAATCTGCATAAAAACGTGCACTGGTCATGATCTGGGCTCATCGCAGCTGCACCTCGTGCCGTAACAAACCCCTGTCTAAACCGAGCTGATACACGCACAAGAGAGTTCTTTAAATTATTTTTCAAAGGTTGGAAATACGAGTAAGTTAAAGATCAACTTGTAAACAACAGTAAAATAAAACTCGCTCGGACACATCAGCTCAGAAGTGCAGGTGGGCGGGGCACGCTGTATAAACAAAAATCAGCTGTTCTGACCAAAACTTCTAATTAATCCTCCACTCACACACTCCTTCCTGAAAATTAACACCAAACAAACTGAATCTCTCACTGATTTGACTTTACGTAGGAAAATAAAGATTTGCTGAAATAAATCAATTTCACCTATTTCATACGAGGAAGAGAGATCTATCCTGGGCAGACTCTGGAGCTCCACCCATCCTGCTGCGTCTCTCCACCTGCTTCACCTCCTGATGTCAAACTCATGTCTCTTTTTATAAGTTTGGGAAAAACTGTGACCCAGTTTTCTCCGTGGATACTTTGAGGATAAAATACACAAGACATTCTTGCATCTATAATAATACAAACGTTTTATTTGTATTTAATTTATTTAGGTTTTATTCTCTGTGGTAAACCCTTTTTTTTCTTTTACAAAATACTATATCCATCCATCCATCCATTATCTTTACCTGCTTCTTTCATTTTGGGTCACAGGGGTCGCCGGTGCCCATGTCCAGCAATCACTGTGTGAGAGGCGGGGGACACCCTGGACGGGTCGCAAGTCCATCACAGGGACACATGGAGACAAACAATCATTCACTCTCTCTCACCTAGGGACAATTTAGAGTTACCAAAAAACACTTAATATATATATATATGTATATATATCTCGGGGGCCGAGATGGTGTGGGGGGCGAGATGGTGTAGAGGCAGGGCAGCCGGCTTGGGACCCGAAAGTCCCAGGTTCGATCCCCAGTCACTGCACATCACGTGGTGTCTCTGGGCAGCACGTCTCATCCCCAAAATGTCCCCCGGGCGCTTTCAATAGCTGCCCACTGCACCACCTGGTGGTGGATGGGTTAAATGCAGAGACTAATTTCGCCGTTGTATGGAAACATACAGTGATGACATTGTGATGACATTATTATTATTATTATTATATATATATATATATATATGTGTGTGTGTGTGTGTGTGTGTGTGTGTGTGTGTGT